CACTACTTGACAAAGGGAATGATCCCCTTCACAAGGCGACAAGGCAGCTTGAGGACGAAACCAGTCACCTCGCACCACATCAGCAGCATGCCCCCACGTGGGCGCACATGGTCCTGTCCCCTTAGCCTAGTATAAATACTCATGAAAACCTCAGAAAGAGGGATCCGAATTCACTCTCTCTGAACTTCCTTGTAAAAGCACCCGTGCATTCCCCGTTATAAGATAGATTGGGCTACAGGTGTTCCCACCTAAAGTCCTCCCGGTCAATCTACGAGTTTTTATCTTTCTTACTTTGCCAAATCAAGCAAACTATTCTAGACCCGGTCTAGTATAGTTTGACCGGTCAAGTAATTTACACCATCAACAATAATATTTTATTTTATCATATAGGCCATGAAAAAACACAAATAAATATAAATTTCCGTGAAGTTAGAAGAGTGCTCGGGGAAGATGACGGAGGGAGTATCTTTTAGTACTGCTTGATACAAATTTCACCATCCAAGGAAGGAGAAGGGGAAGGTTATTTTCCATTAACTTTTCATCCATTCTCTAGCCAACCAAACACGAGAAGTCATCTTATTAACTTCTACTCCGTCCTGAGATAAGGCAAAACAAATCTGAGGCTAAAACATAGCCAAGGCCATTCACAGTTCACACAATTTCACAGTTCACTAACCTCTGAATCGAAACAGGCAATTAAAGATGATAACTTTGAAACCGCAAATCCATTTAATCCCCTCCCAATTCACTTCTTCCCCGTCTTCTTCCCCATCTAGCGCTCCAATTCTCATCCAAATCGGATCTAAATCCCAAGAAAATCCCACTAATTTCCCAGCTCTCAAGAACAGTAGTGCTTCCTCCTCCTTCAAGAAAACCCACACAGAAAACCCAAGAAATCTGGAGAATCCCCAGAAGTTCTCAGAGAAACCAGGCCAGAAATCAAGAGCTCTGATGTGGGGAGCTGCGGCAGTAGGAGCTGCGGTACTACTTGTGGGTCTTGGCGAGGAGGAAAAGGCCCTGGCTTTAGGACCCGGGGGTCCATTAATGGAGGATTTCTGGGAGAACATGAGGCGATATGGAGTATTTGCGCTGACTGTGAGTACGGGTGCTCTGTACGCCGTTTTCCGGCCGATATTCGAGCTGCTGAGGAGCCCCGTCTCTGCCATTCTCGTCGTCCTCGTCGTTGCGGGCGGGTTCTATATCATGTCCCAGGTGCTTTCTGCCATGCTTGGCATCTCCTAGCTCCCAGGAGCTGCCACTCGCTAGCTTGGTTTCTGTGTTCTGCTGCCCAGAAATCTTCATATGTCGATTCTTTACAACTTTGTATTTCTGTTGTTCAAACATATTTATATGTCTTTCTTCAAGCTCTAATTTTTAATTTCTAAATTTCAGGCTTCAATTTTTAGATTTCAGACTTTTTTCTCTCTGACTCCAGTTTCCAAACTTCGTATCTAGACTCCATTTTCTAAAACTAAATAGAGTGAGGATTGTTACAGCCTCTTAATGGTTCAGATGTCTGAATGATTCAGCACTTAATGGTTCAGACTGTTTGTTTCAGCCTCTTAATGGTTCAGATGTCTGAATGATTCAGCACTTAATGGTTCAGACTGTTTGTTTCAGCCTCTTAATGGTTCAGATGTCTGAATGGTTAAGTATAATACAGAGTCAGAATGGTTTAGAGCTCTTATCTGAATCGATCAGACATTTGTCTCTGGATAGTTAAGCAATATACTAGTTCTTAATGGTTCAAACCTCTTACTGGTTTAGCACTTAATGGTTCAGACCTCTTACTGGTTCAGCACTTATCTATTCAGAAGTTGTCGAACAGCCCCTGACTCTAGTTAAAATTAAAATGTGTAGGAAAGACTCGCCCCGTTTGGTACATGAAATTTTCAATTCCAATTCTGGTGTTTGATAGCATAAAAATTATGTGGAAAGGTCTATTTGGTATACGGAATTGATAGAATTGGAATTGAAGTGGAATCAAAATTTAATGGGATCCAATTCCATAGAATTGAATTCACTAATTTCAATTTATTTTTTGCACTGTCAATTTCAAATCCACATAATTCATGTGCTACCGAACACAAGAATTGGAATTAAAGTCCTCAATTCCAATTCCATAGCTTGAATTACGTGTACCAAAGGGGGCGTGATGGCTTTTGAAAAGTTTTGGTGACTAGTCTTTTGCTTCTTCCTTGTACAAAATCGAGCTCGATTTGAACCAACTTTGAGCTTGGCTCCAGTTTGACTTGTTAGGAATTGAGCTTAGATTTTAACTTCAATTCTATTCCTTTTGAGCTCGATCGAGTTCGAACCTTATCGAGTCAACCGAAACTCTCGAGCCACGCATGGTATTTATAGGGATTGAATGTTACTCCCTTCGTCCTATAATGATCTTCCCAGAGCACTATTCCAACTTCACGGGAATTTATATTTATTTGTGTTTTTTCATGGCCTATATGATAAAATAAAATATTCTTGTCACAACTTGTTTTGTTGAACTTTTGATGTAGTTTTTTAATATGTTTGTTTTATTTTTTATTTTTATACCAATATTTAAATAAAATAGATTTAAAAAATTTGGAATTTTTCTTTATTTTGTGAACCGAGAAGATCATTATAGGACGGAAAGAGTATTCTGTACTTATACGGGTTGTACCAAAAAAATTCAAATCAAGAATTACGTATGATGAGTACAATGAAACAAACCTAGATCTATAAACGTGTTAGACAAAATATATCTCACCTGATGTGAGCTCGTAGGCACTAGACTTAGGTCAAGGAGAGGCGTCCTCTTTCTTACAAAAGACACTATTCTCTCTCTTCCAATTTAAATTGTTTTTATAATTTATGATATTTGATTGAAATCTTTAAAACGTATTTTGAGATTTGTGGTGAATTAAAAAAAAGAAAAATTATTTCAAATAATCCCACATTTTCATGTTCTTTCAAAAATAATCTCACTTTTCACTCTCACCAGAAATAATACCACTTTCTCACATGTGTGCGAGTTTTGGATCGTCGTTAAAAAACTAACGGTCACTTAACGGAAATTTTGAAAAATGCCCGTTTTTCACAAAGAAATGAAAGGTGAGATTATTTTAGGTAAATTCTCCCTTTTCCGTTTTTTAATTTATTTAAATGTATTTTATTTTATTTTTTTGGAAAAAAATACCAAATTTAAGTATTTTTAGGGTGAAACTAATTGTTTTTTCAATAACCAATAATATGGTAATAATTAGAAAATAAATTATTCTACACAATAGAGCTAATTTATTAACTTATTAACTAACTACATTTTTTTGTAAGTTGCATTTACTGTATTTTTCTTGATCTACACTTCAAATTATTGTTTGATACTACATTATTATTACTCCTTATTTCTTAAAAAAATGGAACTACAAAATTTATGAATATTTTTCGATAGTTCTATATAAATATTTTTTGTGAAACAACATTACAATAGCTGTGAAAATAACACAACAATTTTTTCTCTAAAATAGAACTTTTTTTAATAACTCATTACATTTTCTGATGTATTGCATTTTTTCCATGAACACTCTGAAATATTTATTGATAATCTTATATTGCAATAAAATTTTCTTTCTAAAATGGAACTACCCAATTTGCGATTTTTTTTATAATTCAATACAAATTTTTCCCCAAAATAGTAATTCAAAAGTTGTGAAAATGACACAATATTTTTTTCCCGAAACAGGCACCCATAAATTTTATAAATCACTACAATTTTTTTATTGTAATTTCTTTCTTGATCGATACTTTGAATTGTTTTTGATAATTCAATACTATATTTTCCCAAAACAATTAACAAAATTTGT